GTTTGACAATTACTTCTTTCTTTATCATCGCCAGTGAATTAATGATTGTAATATTCTTGATTGCTCAAGGTTTTGTAATAATTTTTCAATGAATTCTTAATTTTTGTCATGATTTCTCTTTATAATTTATTTATTTTGTCTTTCAAGTTTGACCTTTATATTTACCCGTTACTCACCCGATCCACCCAAAAACCCGTTCATGATGGATGAGTTGGATGTGGATGTAGATTTTAATGGATGATGAACGGGTGGGTGGACTATGAAAAATTAACGGGTGGATGACGGATGAGCCTTCACCCGGTATAAACCTGACCCGCTACCACCCCTAGCTTCGAGGGGGAAGGGCCTTATCAAATGACCTCATCTGGCATCCCAAGCAGGTGCCCAAGATCAGGATTTTCTTGTGGAGACTCTGGAATAGAGGACTGGCCTCTCCGGAGAGACTAGCAGCCTTCTTAGCTGTTTTTCCTTCCATTTGCCCCTTCTGTAGAAATGCGAACATTTCATAGGACCATGTCCTTCTTGTATGCCCCATAGCTGACTGCATTTGGTCTTTCTTTGCTAATTCTTTGTTATCAGCTCCTGCGAAAGCTACGAACATTAAATCAAACATTATGAAGTGGTGGGTTTCAAACTCTGAAAAAACACTAGATAAAGTCTTTTCACTCGTTTTACCTAGGGTTATAATTTGGCATCTTTGGAAGGAGTATTGGGATTCAACATTCAATGGCTCGGTGGTGGTGAAAGAGGTTGTTATTAACAAAATAATAAAATTCATGTTAGAGTGGTGTTGTGTTTAGATAATATTACAGGTATGGAGAAGCTCAAGGAGACTGGATTGTTACCTGCATCTTTCAAGTGCAGAAAGCCGCAGCTTCTTCGTTGGTCAAAGCTGAGATATCCGAACATGAAGCTTAACTGGGCGGTCTTCAGGCAGTTTGGGAAATCATTCGCCGGATTTCTTCTCCGTGACCACTCTGGAGTGATGGTGGCGGCGGACGGCTTTCCTCTGAGTGGTTCGAGTGTAGAAGATGAAGAGATCTTGGCTCAAGCGATGCGGTGGTCTGAAGAATTGGGGTTTCCAAATGTGGAGGTCGGCATTTAATTTCCTATTCTTATTTGTTGGGGTCATGTGCGAATATGGGCCTTTATAGGTCGGGCCTGAGTTTCAACTACTCGTCGGTCCATATTAATAAATCAACGAGAATTGTGGCTAGTTTGGGCTGCCTTAAGCCTTTTTCGTGGAAGATGGGGAAGTATATTCCCAAAGAGCTTGATGGATCGATCAAGGTGGATGCAATGGAGATACCGTATATTTTTTGATTGATTTTCTTCTTAGTGTAATTTTTGTCTTTGAAGTTTTTGTCTTTTAGAGAAGTCTAGGCCTAGTCCCCTTCTCTGATTGTACTCGTATTGGCTTTAATAATATTCTGGCAGCTCACCTCCGGCTCCTGCCCCACTGATTTTGGTGGTTTGCCTTCCGGGGTAAAAAAACGATCAAGCTAGAAAGGTCTAAATAATTTCATTTTCATTTTCATTTACCCCAGTGCCGCAAAGGCTCCCACCTACGGTGGGGTAAGGGGGTCGAATGTACGCAGTCTTACCCCTGTACTAAAGCACAGAGAGACTGTTTCCGGATGCCCATAGTGAAAATCGCGTCCAAAATTGCATGGACTGACTGTTGCTCCATAACAAAGAAGCGCAGACAGTTTAGTGAGCCATTTTGCTTTATTCCATCGTAATCTCAAGCCAAAAAATATTGAATCTTTGATTCCATTGCAAATGATGGAAACCTAGAAAGGTCTAAATGAATACAATAATTATTAGCATATACGTAATGGAATATAGAGCTCCAAAAATCAAAGGCAATGACTGAATATGACAGGTATGTTGTGAGTGAACACGTAAATTAAAGAAGTTCAAACGTGTGAGCTACATATTCATATATGGAGAACTGCGATAAAGGAGTATAATGTGTAATGAACGTGTAGACATTTGAATATAATAATAATAATACTTCTTACTGTATTACAGCAAATTAAAGCTCCTAATCCCAATATATATACTTTAAGGTAATTAACAATTAAATTTTCTAAGAAGGACACCTGTTAAAACCGTGTTTTTTCCCCTCAAAGTTCGTCTGTTGCCATTACTTTTGCAGCAAAACTTATAACCCGCAGGTCGGTCATGGATTCAGGGGTTGAATATAATTAAATCAATTAATAATAATTCAACTTCGGTATTCCTCCCCTTTCACACTTCACATGCATGCATGCATTATTTACTTGCCAATTAATTTCGACAAACTACTCTTATGAGTTATGAACTAGAAAAGATTACTATGCAAGCTAGATCTATGTAAGATCTAGCAAATAATCCTACTCTTCATGTTATGTTCATTTTTCTGGGTGGAACCTCAAATCTAACACCAGTATACTACTCCCTCCGATCCTAAATAAAGTTCACACTTTCCTTTTTGGGTCAATCCAAAATAAAGTTCACACTTATACTGACTTCCTTATTTGGCAAATTATCTATATCAAAACAGTGCAAAACAATGTCAAACAGTGTTACAACTGTGTACTCTACGGTAAAGTCACATTTATTTCCTTAATTTGTTTGAAGTTTATTTAGGACCGAAAGGAGTATATCAGAGTTAGGTTCGATTGCAATTTGATAGTTTATTTAGTACGGAGTATATCAATAATAAAGGCTAGAGTAGCTGGTGTATAGACTTATAGTCTCGTTGACTCATTTATGTACCCGATGTTGTCCAATCCAATTTTAGTTGAAGAGTACTAGTAAAAATTACCCTCAGATCATATGTAATACATAAGTTATTAAAATTCAAAGTATAAGACTTTAAACTAGATTGACCTTTTAGAATTAAATCTCAAATTTATTATCTAGATTACATTGGATAATTTATTTGTTGCAAATTTTTCACGACCGCAATTAAATTGAAAATATCTAAAAATATATATACACTTCATCCGTTCTTTACTAATCGTGAAACCTGAGTTTTAAGCTATCTTGACACCTTATCTTGACTAAGTTTTTCTACTAATATACATATTATACAATCAAATCATTTTATACAAAAGATATCGAATTTTCCTACACGTACATTTCAAAATACTACTCCCTATATTATATTTATATATTTTTAATTACTTATACATATGAATGGTTAAAGTCAAACTTTTACGTAGTACTCCCTCCGGTACTTATTAAACTTTACAGTTTGACTTCACACATATTAATGAAATAAGTTTGACTTTACTATAGAGTGTACTGTTTGACACTGTTTGACATTATTTTACATTGTTTAGTATAGATTTGTTTGCCAAATAAGAAAGTGTTTAATATGAGACGGCCCAAAAAGAAAAGTGTAAAGTTAATTAAGGACTGGAGGGAGTACTATTTCAAAAGGGTAGATTCTATGGTACCTTTAAGGTACCATACCTTTGTCTACATTGACCAATTAGAATGCTGCAGTTGAATCGTTTAAGTCTAAATTAAAAATGATATAATGATTTCTACCAATCAAATGATTGATAGGTACGGTACCTCAATTTTTAAATGGGTACCAGAGTTGTCACCCTTAAAAAAAAGAACGGAAGTAATACTTAGTTAAGAAATATGGTAGTAGAATTATTAAAGTTTAGGTATATTTGCGGTATTGTTCATATAGATGCATGCACATACACCTGTACACAACAAGTCAACAACCTTTTTCTAGTCCTAGATCAATTTGCTTAGCTTTGTAACGTATATAAGTAGTAACTGATATGACTTTGTTTAGGAAAAAGCAACACATGCGGTATTATAATATATCAACTGATTAATAAACAATAATAGTATTAGTCTGTAACTTTAAGTAAGCACTAGTCTTGATTTACTCGTTCCTCTATCTCCTCTTTTTTTTCACATTATATATGTGTAGGTGCTGGAAAATACTAGGGAATGCAAAGAAAAGTACAATAATATAAAAAGCTAATTGGAAATGTTATTTCTTAATGGAAAGTGAAAGGGAAGGAGGAAAAATTATACGTAGTACCTTTTATACACACAAATATAATGAGTATAGATTAATTTGTTAGTTTCACGGAGTATTTGATAGAAATAGTATAGTTAAGGAAAACTATGTATTTGAATTGCACCTTATCATTTGTGAATTGTGAATTCGTGTCCTAAAAGATGAAATATATTGAAATAAGACCTGAATGATGAAAAACTATCATTATAGGACCTGAATGATTTAAAATTATTGATCTAGGGCCCAAATTGTCATGCACTTTATTATTATTTTTATTTTGAAAATTTTAAATATAATTTAGTTTTAATAAACTAATAAAATTTTGTAAAGACAAGTTTATCAAAAACTAGCAATGTAATTAATAAAAAATTAAATAAATAATAACCTATGAAATTTTAGGTCCTAGATTGATAGTTTTCCATCATTCGGATCTTATACCGATACATATCATCTTTCAGGTCTCGGATTGATAATTCATCTATCTTTCGGGTTCTGAATCGATAAAATTCCCATTTTTAATTTGCTAAAATATTACGTAAGTATTTAACTTTTCGCAGCATATGGTAATTACAAAGCCCAGACTCAAATATTTGGACAACCATGGAATATGCTATCTGATACGTGAAATGTCAAATGTAGCTTCCAATATAATTAATTCCAAATAAATAAAATTAGTTAGAATAAATATCTAATATAAATAACTTATATATTGAGTATGATCCAATTTTTTCCATAACAATTAGTTTTCTTTCCTTCAAATTCTCCTTTTCATTCATTCTCTCAAGATTTTCCAAGTTCCAAGTGGACTTTCCAATACTGATCTTCAACATGATTCATATATGGGATTAAAATTGAAATATAAATGAGAAAAGCATAAATACTACTGTAACAAGCAGGCCGGTTAAATAACTGGAATTAAGCTACTCAAATAACTACTCCGTATACAATAACAAAGATTCTTTAATTTATACAAATGTATAATACATGTATGTCGGCAAGATACAAACAAACGAAATCAACAAATAACTTATACTTCGTATAATCGTAGCCTATATATAGATGTAACGTAATTAATTAATATAAGTATAACGTGCTGGTATATACCTAATGCTTACATGGATGAAATGTATAAACACAATACATCTGAATTAAGATAATTTAAGTTACCATAGACTCAAAGATTATTATTTTTATGCTCTTCTTCCTGTTTCTTTAGATGGATCAGCTAGTAGTCCCATATGGAGTAATGATCAACACCTTCACCATCCCCCATGCCGTCATGACTACCATGATAGTACGATGGATCTCTGTCGAGGTCGGCCTCAAATATCGCCAGCTGGCTGCTCTGAACATCACCGGTCTCCTTCGACTTCGATACCCCCGAGGTTGTTTCGGTAGTGGCAACCTCGGGGCTTAACCCCATTGTCTCCTCAGAGGAAGTATTGACCTTGTTGACCGAAAATCCTTCCACTTGTAACATTGAACCTCCTACCACCTGAAGTGGTAGCGGGTTCGAGTGCAAGAACATGGGGTTGTTCGGGTTGCCATGTCCCGTGGGGTTATTGTTGGAAGGAAGGGAAATGTAGTCTGTCCCGGGACGAAAATTAGATTGTCGTCCCGAGGCATGACCCTCACTACCACTGGAGTTATATGATGGCATTATCATATGTTGGTTTGATTTGAAATAGTCTTGGTCGGATCGGCCGATATTAAGAAGTAACTCGGTTGATGACGAGGATGAGCCATCACCCGTAGCCGGAACATGGAAATAGTCGGTCACCGGAGCGTCAGCCGATGGTGGTGATGGGGTTGGAATCATGATTAAGTCGTCCACAAATGAATAATCAATCTCATCATTATTCTCCGTTTGGACTCCTACTGCTCCAACTCCTGCGCCGCTCTTGTGGAACACTTTACACACCACCCAATCCTCCTGTACATCAAATTCCCAATAAAAATTCGTTTAATTTATTTATCATGATTCATGAATATATTTTAAATTGACAAAGTTTATATTAACTAGAAAGAATGAGTCCTTTCAATGGAAAAAGTTAAAATGTACTTGTGATTCTTTTATTACTCCGTATATAAGAATTGAATATAAGAGAAAAGTGTAAAGATTTTATGTTTTGTAAAAAGAGAATGCTGAAGAGTTTATTACGGAGTACTAGACAAGAAAGTTAAAGATGACTTATTGATTATAAAGGATGAAGATACTCCCTTCAAGGGAGCATACTATGATACTAATATCAAGTACGATAGTACTTTTTTTTATGGAAAATTTCCCAATAGGATTAAAAAAGTTTTGAAATTCCAAAATAGAACTATCATGTTTTTATTTTCTAAATATGAGTAATTTCTATCAAGTTTGGCATTATCAGACTTTAAACATGACGGTTTCTGTCATGTTTTTTCCAAACTTGGCAGAAATTACTCCTATTTAGAGAATAAAAACATGATATTCTTATTTTGGAATTTCCAAACAATTTTACTCCTGTTCAAGCCAATTCCTATTCTTCTATTAGGTTATTATTATTAGCTAGGTTGTTTACCATGAAACCCGAATCTTATCGGATTATTTACCATGGAACCCGAATCTTATCGGATTATTTACCATGAAACCCGAATCTTATCGGATTATTTACCATGGAACCTGAATCTTATTGAATTATTTACCATGAAACCCGAATCTTATCGGATTATTTACCATGGAACCCGAATATAACCACATGTAAGTTCTGTAGATAAAATTGTATTGCATGTCCAAATAAAAATGAATTAATAATAATCAACATCTCTTACCCTAGTTGATGCTGCTTTTTGGGTGTAGCGGTAAGAGTGGGGGCCTTCAAGCCTAAACTCATGCATGATCCAGTTACTTTTCTCCCCATGAGGAGCTCTACCTCTATAGAAAACCAGGGTCTTTTTCATTCCAATCAGGCAGTTATTACCCCTTCCCGTGAAGATCTCCTTATCTTTTCCGGTGGCCTTCCAGTAACCCGTACCTGTCGCCCTGTTCGTCCTCATTCCGGTCGGGTACTTCCTGTCTCTCCTGTAGAAGAACCACCATTGCCTCTCTCCCAATTTTGCTATCCCTGACCCCCAAACACACATATATAGGTCAACTTTTATTAGTATATGCTCCCGCAGCTAAGAACCTGACCCCGACCCACTCCAAATTTGGTAAAAAAAAAATACTTTATCCGTAAAAGATTTCGTAAACTGGTAATAAAAACCCGAACTTATGCGTAAAAGATTTCGCAAAAACTTATACTCCCGAGTCCCGACTATGTATACAAAAAAGGATGACATCCCGTCGTTGAGGACCTCAGGACCGGCCAGACATACGTGTATTATGTACATACACACTACGTATGTTGCTTAAACGCGTTATCCAGGGACAGAATGTATTGCTGAGCAATCAAGAAAAGCTAAAAAACAAAGAAAAAGATGGAAAAGACATACTAGGTAAATCCCAGGGTTCCAACTTGTTAAGATCAGCTTCACCTATGGCTACTGCCACAAAATGATTATCAAGAACCTTCTGGGTAAGGTAGTTCTTGATGATCTCTTCATCAGTGGGGTGGAATCTGAAGCCTGGAGGGAGGCATGAAAAGTCATCAATGCCCTTAATAGTTCCATCACCTTCTTGTTGTATGATTTCTTTTTCTGCAGCTGCGGCCTTTTGAAGATGATCATGATGATGAGCAGCTGGAGGAGAAGTTTTGTTTCCGGCGGCTTCTAAATTTTCCATTTTTGTGCAGACAAGGGAAGGAGTAAAGTATAATAATTGATCAGAAAGCATGAAAGAGAAGAGAAAGGGGACGTTTTATAGGTACACTACAGAAAGAGTGCTGCGTGAGGCTCAAGTCACTCACGTAATAATTAAGTTTAGCTTGTAGCTAGGTATTTTAGACTTTTGTCCAATTTTTATGCTTCATTATCAGATCATTTTTCCTAGGACCCCTCAATTTTTAGTAATTACAAATGTGGGCTCTCTTCTTGTTTGGATATATATGTTGTCAAATGTTTTTAAATTTTGTCTAGAATCAAGTTGCCAAACAAGTGATTGGAATATTGTGCGGTTTGGACTCTCCTTTAATTAGAACTAAGAGTTGTCTTAATAAGCTAATAGTGTTTATGTTATCTATGGGAAAGACAACATAGGCCTAATTGCTACAAAAACTCAACTATCAATCACCAATATGAGTAATTAACTCACGAAAACTTGATTTCACATCACATATATATTTAATTCAAGTAATGATCAATATATGATTAAAATGAAGGTTGTGGATAATGGTAGGTGTGAATGTAGTGACTATGCTAGCAACTATATATAGGTAGAAATTGTTTGGGAGCTTGAGGGAACCACTACAAAAAATTACGGGATTGGTAGAAATTGTTGGCAGGGATTCAGTAAAATCCATAGAGGATTTGACACGAATACGCTAAATCCGTTTCAACGGCATTTTTTATTGTGAGAATCTTTGAAGGTTAGTCATAGGGGGGTCAATGAAATCATTCTTCATATTTCAGAGTTATAAATTCAAACAGTTTGAAATTACAAAGTGTGTGTTCTTCAAGTTGATCTATTTTTCCATCCAGTTTAATTGGAATTTTATCAATTCAGAACCTAAATGATAGATGAATTATCAATCCGAGATCCGAAAGATGAATATATTAGTATAAGACGTGAATGATGGAAAACTATCAATCTAGGATCTAACAATTCATAGGTTTTGGTTTATTTAATTTTTTATTATTTCCATTGCTAATTTTTGATAAAAAAAATTCACAAAAGTTTATTAGTTTAATAAAACTAAATAACATTTAATTTTTTTAAAATAAACATAATTACAAATTTTATAATAACTTAGGTCCTATATTGATAGTTGTCGATCATTCGAGTCCTATAATGATGATGTCTCATTGTTCGAGTTCTAGCTATATCGATATATTTCATTTCTTAGTTATCAGATTGATAATTCATGTATCTTTGAACTGAAACAAAAATGTATATCGATATGTTTCATCTTTTATGTTTCTATTTAAAATTTTGAGGATATATTTTCTATTTTTTGCCCTCTTTATTTCAAGTTTTCGAATTTATAAAAACATGTTTGCACAAACATGTATGGTGTTGGAATTGTTAGGGTCACTTGGGGATTGGGGGACAGCGCTTGGTTTGAGACCGTACATAGCAGCCGGCACTGATAGGAAGCGGAGAGGTTCTCGATGTTAATGATGTGGTAGGGCTTTGACCGTCCGTGATCCAATGTGTCTTTGAAAAACTCATGAAACAGGGTTGAAAAGGAGAAATCAGAGTCTCAAGCTACTCTTTCCATCACATTCTAAAATTCTCTCTTATTTTTTAAACATATAAAGTTTATCATTTCTTACTTTTATTATTTGACAATAAAGCACGAAATAAAAATTTATTTGTTAAAAAGAAAAAAATAATCAATAAAATTGATAAACTGGAATGGTAAGTTATCAAATGAATTCTAAATATAGAGGCTTTTCAGTTTTCACGACTTCATTAAAAAAGTTAACACAAGGTTAACGAACTAGAGGAGTCTGGTACGGTGTATTTAACGTTTTATAATTCTTAAAAATACATAATTACATATACTAAATTTCAAATTTATGTATTCAAAAAATTACTCCCTCCATCCTAAAATTAATAATTTGTAAAGTTAATTTTTTAGTCACTTTATTTACTAATTTAGCATGTCATTTTACCTGTATATTCTAATTTGGATTTTGCAACTTTATATGAGTTTTAATATAGTTTTTGAGTATATAAATTTCAACCAAATCAATATAATGTGTTGGTGGCGGGAGAAATTCGTGGTGGCGGCAGCAGACTCCGGCGACGACGGTCATCATCAGAATTTTGGGGGTAGCACCGTCATCAGAAAAGATCTGGAAAAAACCCGATGAAGACGGTCAGGCGACCTGGGGATAGCACCGTAGTGGTGTTCCGGCCCTTTGGGGGTATTTTGGACAAATCACAAATAAAGAGTTCTGTTTAAACCATTTTAAATTAGTAGGTCGTCTCCCCCGTTGCGGCTCCCCACCTTGGTGAGGAGCTGGTCCTGCAGCTTGGACCTGACCAGCAAAAGCTTTTGCCTGATGGGGTTCCTCCATAGAACGCATGTACTAAACACTCTTTCCTGTTCAACCAACTTGGTCTGGAGTTTCTCAAAAGTGGAGCTCTCCGGAAATTGGCCAACCGAGGTAATAAGGGACTCATAGTCCCTTCTCAGACCAAGTAAAATTTATTGGAACAGTTCACGAGTAGAAACAAGAGCATTGATTGCAGCTAAATTATCAACAATAATTTTAATATCTCTAAGATAATGTTCCATGGACTCATTAGGACCCTTCCTAGAATGTGACAGTTGGTGTTTTAATTCCAAGGAACATGCTAGACTAACAGACATAAAATGGGACTACAACTGCTCCCAAATAGAAAAGGAATCCTTGAGCTCATGCACCTTAAACAACACATCACAGGATAATGTCGTGAAAAGCAAAAAATGAACAGTTTGGTCAAGTGATGGTCCCAGATAGAGGTAAAAGTCTAGAGGGGGGATGAATAGACTTTTAAAGCCTTTTCAACTTTAAAAACTTTTCCCTTCTAGATGAGTTGATCTGTAATCTTTTGGGAGATTTATAGATGCACAACAGAAGTCTTTAGCCTCTTAGATAAATAGTGTATAACAACTTTCTATGATGGATGAAATTTGGACTTTATGTAATGAGCAATTGGCTTGGCAGTTGACTGGATGACAGTGAACTGCTGAGGCAACTGCTGAGGAAAATTAATTGTGTGATGAAAATGTAAGCATAATCTTTCTTAGAAAGAAAAGAGCTTTCTGAAGATGTGACAAGGTAGATTGATAATCAATCTTAATGAGAGCAGTGGTCTCAGCAGTTGAGTAGTAACCAGGGAACTGCTGAGGCACCTGCTTAAGTAAAAGTGAAGGTATGAGAAGATTGATTATATAGAGTTGCTCAGGGTGATGAGGGATTTCTAAAGATGTGCTTTAGTAAGAGTAAATGGGAGTTTTACTGGAGCAGTGGTCTCGGCAGTTGGGTGATAGTGAGGGAACTGCTGAGGCACCTCCTGGATTTCAGCTTAAGGTTCAGAGATCAGTTTAACCAGACTCCTTGGTGAGATTGTTGTGAAGGTCTGGGGAAGTTTAGATGTTCAAAGGAAATACTTTCGTGTGAGCAGTGGGCTCAGCAGTTGGGTAGTCACCAGGGGACTGCCGAGGCAACTGCTATGCTTTAAGTAGGATTTCCTGAAGTCTGATGAAACAGACCTTATAGTGGTGATATTGCAAGGCTCTTGTGTCTCAAAGAAAGTGAGTTATTAAGCAGTAGGATAAGGAGTAGGGTCAATTAAGACTACTGCTTAGGATGCTGCTGGCAATCTACAATCTTTTATGAGAGGTGTTTGGTGTGTGCTTTGTTGACTGAAAATAAATCAACACACGGTATATCCTGGTTCAGAGGTGGTGTAATCCTCCCACGTCTAGTCCCACCCTATTTCAGATGGATTTCACTAAAGTGTTAAACCCAATACACTTAGTGTTAATCTAGCCTTTACAACAGTTAGGCTTAGATTGTAGGTTTCTCACAATGAGTATAACACCACTCAAAGTTACTCAGTCCTTAGACTTTTCTCAAATGATCCAGTGGGGATCAAAAGGTACTCTATCTATCTCACCACACTGTAGGATCCGAACAACTGTTCTTCCAGGGCCGTCTAATGAATTCGGAGGCCCCGGTTTCAAATGTAAAATCGAGGCCCCACATTAATATAAAAAAGTATCAAAAAAAATTCAATCCAAATACATATACTTAAATTAATTGAATACTCATTAAATAATGTAATAAAAAATTCTAAAATTGAATTAATATTTGATTTAAAGCAACACAACTCATTATTCAAGCAATTTGAGTAAAGAAAACTAAAACGACCAACGAAAAAATGGTGAATCTATATTTTTCTTCCTCACTAACTGTGTTTTACTGATCAGTATTAAAATATGTAGTATAATATTACGGAGTAATATATAATACTAATAAAATTTTGAAATTTTGGGGCCCCGTAAATTTGAGGGTCCTGTTCTGGATAACCTATTGAACCCCCTAAAAAACGGCCCTGCTGTTCTCCTAAGTGTTTACAACAATTTGTGATTTGATTACAAGAAAGTTCTAACCTCCAACTAGGAACTAAACTTCTAGGATTTAGCAATTATCACTTGATACTAAGAAGTTTAGTGAAGCATGAGTCTAAGCAAAGACTAGAGTATAGAATTGCACTTTCTCTTTTGCTAGATATCTGGTGAATGCTTAGTGAAGTATTTCTCTACTTAGGATGCTCAAGCTTGGTTAGAAACTTTCGTTTCAGCCTATATTTATAGGATTCTCCTGTGGATTAATCTCATTCGTTGGTTAGGATGATTTAATCTCTTTCGTTGAATATTGGACAGGGACGAGTTGTTTTATTTGTCTTCTTGTGCTGGAGCTGATTTCCTGGTGATTTCCTTTGTCTTCAGCCGCTGAAATATCATTTCAAAAGCAGTCCCATGTGTGCGCTTCAATGCTCCGGACCCCAGTACTATTCTCGTATTAAATACATGTCAAATTTTGTCTTCAACCATATACATTCAATGTATATGATTTTCGAACCTATTTTCTTTTCGTGACTTTTAATTAATTTTTGAGCTAAATAATACTCCGTATATGCCGGTAGGATCTAAATATCCTATTAAG